ACCAGGACCAGAGGGTTCTGGGTTGGAGTCCCGGGGGAACCAGGACCTTTCTGGGTGGAGTCTGCATGTTCTCCTGTGTCTGTGGGTTCTCTCCGGGTTCTCCGGCTTCCTCCCACCGTCCAAAAACCTGCATGTTAGGTTGATTGGGGATTGGGGAAATTTCCCTTAGGAGTGAATGTGAGTGTGAGTGGTTGTTGGTCCTTGTGTGTCTCTGTGTGTCCCTGTGATGGACTATTGAACTGTCCAGGGTGTACCCCGCCTCTCGCCCGTTGACCACTGGGATAGGCTCCAGTTCCCCCCGCGACCCCATCAAGGAATAAGCGGTATTGATAATGGATGGATGGATTTGACTTGAATTTCATGTCCTAAATGACGAATGATGTTTCCATCATGTTGTTGCCTTAAAGCCACAATCCTCTACTGCAGTGTTTTTCAACATTTTTTGAGCCCAAGGTACAGTTTTTCATTGAAAAAATCTCGAGACACATGCACCGCCAACCAAAAATGTTAAACAATCTGTAGCCGCCTATAGTAACACTATAGTTATTCTTATCTTATTCTTATCTTACCTTAAGTGTCATGAACAGGAGTCAAATAAACACAAAAATTTATTCTTATCTTATTTTATATTTCTTCTTTCAAATTGCTCTTAACATGTCCACTTCAATATGCAAAATTATTTACAAAATCTAGTCATAAGGAATTATTACATGATTACGCCACCAGTCACTAGAACAGCACACACACTCAAAAATGGAATATTATTTGCAGAAAATTAATTCCTTATCAAAACATTTTTTTAGACCAATGCCGAGGCACAGTGGTTGAAAAACACTGACCTAGAGCAACCCCCGTCCCACTTAATCTATAACCATTTATGATTTTGCTTTTATGATTTGACTTGAATTTTATGTCGTAAATGACGAATATGTGTCCTTGTTTCCATCATGTTGTTGCCTTAAAGCCACAATCCTTTTACTGCAAATGGCCCAAGCCGTTAAGGATTCAGTTTAATGAGACACGCTGACCGGTGGACGCTTGTTTGCCCCCCCCTAAAGGCCCCAAAAACATCCTGGAAGCGTCCTGATCTTAACGCTCTTAATTCTGTAGGCGAGTGAGCATTCCTCTATTTATAGCATGTCTCATTTCTTGATCCAATTTAGGTTTAATTTCATCTGCGAGCTCCGTCAGACAGAAAACTGTCACTGAGCCAGAGCAGGGTTTTTCTGCCTTTAGGGCCCGGTTTCACACCAGCACATGCGAGGAAATTTGTGGTGGAGTTTGTGTTACGTTGATCAGAGTCTGTGAACTGTTCCCAAAGTCGAAGTAAACCACAAGTTACTGTCACTTTTTTTGACAACAACCTGCCTCGTATCTGCTTTTTTTGCCTCCTGGAGAGTTTGGGGCTCTTAAAAGGGCTCAAAGGGCTCTTTGTGTCACATCCTGTTAAAAAAGAGTTTACCAGAAATCACGGGAAGATTTACGTGATTTGAACTTTTCATGGATTCGATATTGTATTTTATAATCCACCCAGCTTTTTAAAAAATGTCTTAAAATCTCTGTAAAGATTACATTTGTTTCAAAGCAAAAAAGTTGTCCCCGAAAACAGCAGCTTTTCCTGAGCCGTCAGGAAAACAGTCAAAGTCTCATATTTAGATTTTGGGAAAACAATGTCAACCAGAAAACATATTTACTTTTTTGGGGCTCTTTTAAATGTTCAGCATCCTTTAGACATAGACCAAACTTTTGTGTTGGGTTTGGAGGAGTAAAAATGTACATTTCCTCTAAAAAAAAAAACTCCCACCAGCCTTCAGTCTTTATTTTGTTTTTTGAGCTGTAAAACGCCACCCCTTAACCCCAATGCAGTTTTCTATTAGGTCTCCCATTGCAAAACCGTTCCTGAGCGTGCCCGGCTGGTTATGAGAGTAGAATCCAGAGCCGTGTGGATTTGAAAGTGTGTTTGGTGCTTGAAATAGGTCAAGCGTGTCTGTAAACACACAAAAAACAGGAACATTTGTCCCAAACGCCTCGTAACGCCGTCTCGCTTTTTTCTTTTGGTCGTTTTCCTGCATTGCTTAAAATCAAATTGTTGATGTCAAACACACCAGGAAGTCGATCTCAGATCGGAATATTTTCCAGTTCGATAACAGTCGGCATGGGTTTCATTCTACCACTGAGAAGTTAATAGTAAAAGACTCAAGTTTACCACAAATATTTTAGAGTTTGTCGGTCGTTTGATTAGAAAAGAGAAAGTCATCATGGCTGCTGGGAGCTAAACTGAAGCTGCTAATAGATACGTGGTGCAGTAGATGGAATAATGCAGATTCTCACTGGGAGTGTTTTGATTCTGGCTTCCTCTTTAACAGATTTTACAGCAAACCACCAGAATCAAAGCACACCTGACTGGCAAAGGTGATGGTTAGTAGTGATAAATGTGTTTGCTTCCAAGTTAGATCTGTTAACCCGATTCTTTAGTTGGAAACCTGAGAATAAACCAGAGTGGATCAAAAGTATAAAAATGGATATTTATTGGGTCACAGTTAAGTATATCAGCTGGGCTCTGACAGACTAAAACCTCTCTCTAGAGGTCCTATTGGCCAGTTACCTCTGGGCATAAACAGGCCAGGTCCTAATTCATGCAGATGACATTTGAATGTGGTAACAAATGGTGTGTGTGTGTTTGTGTTGACCTAAAGGTGGATCTAATGCAACAGAGAAAGAAAAAGAGAGAAAAGAGAGTCAGAGCCAGAGACTTCAACACAAAATATAGTTATAAAAGAAAAGAAAACAATCAGTAATTTACATGGATTAGGTGATAGCATACAATGCTAAAGTGAGTAATTATAGCCCAATTCTAAAAGATAGAAACCAGGATTCCTCCAAATACTAGTATTTTACACAGCTTTTCCTTTGTTTGAAACATGCCAAACATCCCAGACACAGTCGGGAATTTGTTAGACGACAACGACGAGTCCAGGAAGGAAAATCCAGACAGAAAGCAACGAGTTTTATCTAGTTCAGGAACAAAAAAGAGGCACGATTTTGTACGATTCAGGATTTTCAGACCACTTATTCGCAGAAAAGGCAAGGAAATACAATTTAGAAAAACTACAAAAAGTCCAAACATCATGACTGTTCTTAGTTGTCGTGTAGACATTTGAATTTAAAGTTGTCGACCGAGGTACGGTGGACAAAGAAAACCCTCCTGGACGTCCTCAGGAGGCTTTCCCTAGAGGCAGGTGGTCGGTGATTGTCCACCTGCTACAGGACTCTTCGGTCCAGGTTTGATCCAAACACAAGAACGAGGACTTCTGTCATCAGCTGCAGCTCAAGATGGAGTTGGTCTCCATCCACAGGATGA